AAGATTAATACTTGTCCACTCTTGATCTCCGCATCCCGGGTCTGTTAAAACCTTGAGAATTTAAGGTGACATTTGAAAGAATATTTTGGCTGCCAAAATAAGAATCCGCCCATTTCTGCATTATATCCAAGAAAAATACTCACTGGAGAACTTTAGAGGGGGATAATCCAGTTCCCCTTATCTGTGACAAAAAGTATACATATTTAGGTTAAGAAATCAATTTTTGCTGTTAGATATCATATGACCTTATATTCCCCTCCCCCTCTTTTCAGGCATTCTGGATTCATCAATGAAATTCCCTATAATATATTAAGTGCTTGCTAATATGTAAAAAACTCCATCAGTACATGTATCTATCTTTCACTTAGGAAAAAGGGATATATGGTACAGAAATCAAATCTGGTTTTAAGGAGTATTTCCCTACATCAGTGCATATTCCCTTACGAGTTTCTAAACTTCAGGATGAAAATCATTAATTCAAGCCTTTTCTTACCTTTGAGCAAATATGTATCCTCAAACAGTAAAACTGACAAAATCCATTTATTGGAAAGTTGCTTAATATGATATAAAAGATTTGCAATGTTTTTACTATTTAAATATACCTTATTATTCATTCACATAGGCCTCAAATCAATGTATGTGCAATATCCCTTTTTTCAGCTCAATAAAGTTTCATTTTCATCTTAACAATATGATTACCCATTGATACAATGGAATAAGTATTCTCCTATATCAACCTATTTAAAATATCAGATAAAAACCCCTGACTCACCACTGTAAGTCCACAGACAATGACACTGTTCTAGTTATATACAGTCTTAAAGTACAGCTCAGTCTCCAAGATATCTACCAAATATCACCATAATAGTCGCACACTTCATCAGTTTCTATTATTCCAGTTCTCAATGACTTAATAGCTGCAAGATTTCAGTGGCCAAAAAAACCTAGCTTCCAGCGTTATAGACACTGATAAGTAATTGGTACAGTCTCTCAATAATGGCCAGCCAAAAACGTTACAATGAAGGCATATAAAAACTTGTTGTCAAATCATGTGTGCTTGGAGTTAAAGACATTTAAAAATGTCTTACATTAAAAGTGGATTATCTTTATCCCCCAACGCTGTCAACAGATTTGATTGGAGTTCAATGGGCAAAGAGAGATAACTCTGGAATACACATGTAGATGCCTATCTCCCTTTTGTTAAAATTTCCAAAGAAGTTGTGTGCTAATTATTAATTGATCATTCCAAAAATGTATTCATGAATGGGTCTGATATTTTCAGCATTACTTAGTAATTTTCACATAAATTTTACACTATGACAAAAAAAATATTGAAGTCAACAAAATATACTATACGCAATCAATTATTTTCAGCTGATCCAATAATGACAGCAATTTTAGATAATCTGTTTCTGGCAAATTATTCAATTTATTGACTCCACCCATTAGTAAATTACTCCATACAATAAAAATTTAAAAGACCTGATTCAATTTCTCAGAGATAATTACGACACTGAATAATGGAATAAAGCGCAATGCAATGAACATTGCTTCAATGAAAAGAAATTTTGAAAGAAGTCCTTGGATGTACCTTAAAACATATGGTGGGCATATAAGTTTAGCAATAGCATATAAAATCAAAATGCTTTTCTGCTTAGCCTATGCAAATAAAAAAAATTTAAATACAATTAAGCCTTATACACAGGGTCCCAATTTGAACAAACATTGGTAATCAAAGATTATAAAGCTAACCTCAACGAATCTTATCTATTTGTTAGGCATATATCACATCCAGAGATGTACCATCCATGCAAGTTTGGTCCAGGTAGTGCTTAGTTACTTGAAAATGGACCTAAACTGGGAGGCTGATGCTATTCTTGAGGAGTTTCAATACATCTTTCCTATAAAATGCCTTTGATGACCCTACCCTGAAAAACCATGATCTCGATAGTTTACAATCTACACTACCTCAGTAAGCTTTCACAGTTTATGTCATATACCCCGGTAACAAGATAGGGTTATCTCTCTTTGCTTTGTCATTCCTCCTCATTGAAACTCAAAGCTCTTTACTCGCCCACGTAGCCCAGTGGTTAGAGCGTCTGCTCTAGAGTCGCGAAGTAAGGAGCTGATCCCTACATCGCGGTTTCAAATCCCACTGTGGGACGTGGAGACCAGTCCTTTGAATGAGACTGTATAAACCAAGGTCCTGTCGCAGTAGGTGCTGGCATGAAAAAGATCCCTCACTGCTCAATGGCCCTGAGTGCCGAGTATAGGTCTAAATTTGTAACTATCCACAGGCAAGTGGTGGCATCTCCATATGAGTGAAAAATTCTCTAGAGGGACGTTAAACAACATACAATCAATCAATCAAGGCTCTTGTAAAGGGTCATTCCTCTTTAAATCAATGAAACAAACTAAAAGAACTTTCTAAACTCATTTCTTCTTAAATCAATCGAACTAGCAATGATTATTCTCTTTTATCTCTCAAGTTATTATTATTTTATTAAACTCCCTTAAAAGTAATGTTTCACATAATTAAATTTCATCTAATCATTAACTCACAGTCTTCGCGAAAAAAAAAATCGCCACGGGACATTCGGACAGACAGTTCACAATTTCACAGGACCAAACAAATTAATGATAATAACGATGTTACTTCTTAGCATTGAATCAATAAACAGATAACACATTAAAAGATTTACAGAAATGTTTCTTTTTCTTCCCTGATACTATCCTATCAAAATATTTTAGAGATATTGTGGGGGAAGTAGGTTTTAAAACAATCACAATCAACAAAACGTTTTTAATAATGTGTTTTGGTATTAGTTAAAGGGTCTTTATGATGAAATAGGAAATACATAATTTAAAACCCAACCAAAACAAACCTCAGACAAACGAACCGAAATTACTAGTTAGTGCATCGGACCAATAAGATTTTCACCTGTTTTTTCCAATGGACCGGTGCTTTTGATATAGACTGGACTCTTTGTTAGATCTATGTGGAAAACAGAGGTGAGCCAATAGCATAACTTATTAGACTCTCTCAAGTTTAGATTTCTAAAGCTGACAAAACACTATTTAAGGTAGCTCAGTCTGTAGACGCTCACGTTGTGATTGGGAGGTCATGAGTTCAAATCTTGGCCGCGACTGATCTAGGTCGATAACAAATGGGTAGCAACTGTTCCTTCCCTATCTGCTCAGCACTTTGAAGTGAAGTTAAAAACCGAGGTCCCGTGTCGCGGCAGGCATTGGCACAATCAAGATCCCTCACTGCTCAATGGCCCCGAGTGCAGAGTAAAGGTCAAAATTTGAAGCCCTTCACCGGTATATGGAGACGTCTCTATATGAGTGAAAAATTCTCGAATTAAGGAATAATTGTCAGATTTTTCGATTTCATGAAGATGATCAATCGATTGGCTTGCGTGATAATTTGCATAAACGCCAAAGGCGTTTATGCATAAAATTATCACACAAGCCAATCAATTGATCATCTTCATGAAATCGAAAAATCTGACAATTATTCCTTATATTTGCATGCTCTTGATTCTGTGGATCCATGTGCTACAAGCCCCTCTTCTGTCTAGCTATTTGTCCCGCCCTGCATGTGATTTTTTTTTTTAACTTCGCCTATTGATGAACCAGTACATTCATGTAGAAATAAAGTACATTAACTATTTGTAATTTTATCTCGGACAAAGACTATCAACTAAAGCTGACAAAAATTTTGAACATAATACTAGCAACTTAATATAGAATAATTTTAGTTGTAGGTGTGGGGGGGGGGGTAAGACAGAACAGAGCAATATATATTACTGTGCTCCTTCGTGTTGACAGAGAACCAATTCTATTTTTTAAGAAAAGGTTATTTGCCAATATGTTTATGATTAATACCAGTTTTTCTTCAACTCTTTTTTAATTAACTACTTAAGTTTCAATGGATACTTGGTCTGTCTATTGACAATTTGAAAAGTTTAAGGAACTTGAGCTGGGACAAAAATGGTAACTCACGGAAATTATGGAACCTAGCTCTATTTGCCAGTCAGATATGTTGAATCATAAATGGAAACAAGGTAATAAATAATCAGTAAATCATCACAAAAGTGGCATGTACAGTGTATTAATTTAAGTGTGAGCATATTTTTCCAGAAATTGAGAACATACAAGAGTTATCTCTCTTTGAACTAAGAAATGCTAAGAAAGAATGGATTTGAATACACACAATTTTCCTGATTTTTTTTCTTTTTTGTCAACTTTCAAACCTCTTTCATAATCAGACATTTAAACAAAATAAAAAGCAAAACAAAAAGCAAAACTTAATCATATGAAAAGAATTAAATTGTTTTCAGTTCTCTTAATTTATGAAAATTCATGTACATGACTAGCTGCAAAACTCAACTGTAGCGTTATAGCTTTATATTTTAGTCTTTGGCCATAATGGTACAGATCCCATAACAAAAATAATGTGCATGCAATGGGCATCTTATGGCACAAGATTTTCTGTGCACGGTTGGTGAGAATTTCTCCACTTTCCAGCATTGGTCTATCAACTATCTTTCACTCCCTAATTCGAAATAAATTTTTAAACCAAAGTGTGTATATGTTATCCTCCTCCTAACCCTTTAAAGTTTTCTAAAAAGAATGTATAAACTAGCTAGAATTGAATTTTCTGCCATCTGAAAAATCAAAACAAGTGAATTTATTGGTCTGTAGAGACAAGTATGAAGGGTTAGGAGGTAAATAAAATTAGAGAATTTGCTAAAATTTTCAAGTGATAAGTAACTGATTGACCACTGCTGGAGAACGGAGAAATTCTCACAAACTGTGCGCTGTAAACTGCACATTATTTGCATTACAGGATCTCTAGCTTTATATGGTCAATGAGTAAACTATAAAACCATAACCCTACAGTTCTGCATCTAGTACATGGCATGTATGTGCATATTTTTGTCTTCCAACTTAAGGTGTTGTACAATCTGATGGTCAGAAAGAGTCTGAGTTACCTTTGAGGTTTTTGCTCTTCTCCTCAGAGAGTCGGGCGACTTCATCAGGTATCCCCTCGAAGGACAGACTACTGCAGCTGGAGGAGCGGCTACTGAGGGGGGACCCAGCCAGCGGGGCAGAGGACACCTGACGGGTCTTCATGTCGACAGCCCCAACACCTGCAATTAACAAAGGTATAGCTAATTGGTTAAAAATACAGCTCCTACACATGTAATTAACAAAGGTATTTTCAATTTTAATTCTGGGTCTCCTACATTATTGTATGAATTTATTATTTTTTTTCTCATAGCAATTGTTGTCAATTTTTTTTTTTACAACTCATCACTGCTAAGAGAAAAAAGTTGTCCCTGAGACAACCTTTGATGGTTTCATTGGAACTCATTAACCAATGTTGGAAACAAATCAGTAAAAACTAGATATCATTGAGATGGTGGCCATCTCAAAGGGCCCCGCTTTTAAGAATGAACATGAAAATGTAAGGTAGTTTAAAAGGGTTTATTTTGAAGAGGAACATTTGTGTAATACAGTAAAAGTCATTTAGTACGACTTCACAGATATTGCGAATTTACAGATATATATCGAAGTTATCTTGTATCCCCAGTTATATAAATTTACTGGAATTAAAGGGAAAAAATTATGCACCAAACAAAGATTTTAAACAGAGAGGCTAATTCTGACCATGACCTGGAAACTTCGACTAAGGTCACTGCACATCCATTGACCAGTGTAACTCTGTGAGTGAAGTAATGGCCAGATTGGGCCAAGGAGAGAGAAGATATGCTCCGGACAAGGATTTTTCATAAAATTCTGCTATGACCTTGACCTTTGACCTAGAAACATGGTTCAAGGTCACTGCACACCGGTTACCCAAAGGCACTCTGTGGGTGAAGTATGAGCCAGATTGGGCCAAGGAGAGAGAAGATATGCTCCGAAAAAGGATTTTTCATATAATTCTATGACCTTGACCTTTGACCTAGAAACATGGTTCAAGGTCACTGCACACCGGTTACCCAAAGGTACTTTGTGGGTGAAGTATGAGCCAGATTGGGCCAAGGAGAGTGAAGATATGCTCCGGACAAGAGATCTCGGATGGACGGACGGACGGACAGACTGATCACTATAGGGCGCCTGCCAAGCGGGGCCCTAATAAATTCTTGTAAAAATTTATAAAAACTTGCTTCCTACATCCTAAAACATATAAGTCACAAAGAAAATGATTTCATGAAAGAATATCACAAAGTTACTATTGTGTTGTCTATTGCAAAATACGGGTTCAAACAATTTCATCTGTCAGATGTCTAATAGAATCACCTAAGATAAAAAAAATTCAAATTGTATAAACTAGTTAACATAACCCATTTCTTTTTTTGCACTAAACATATCTGAAAAACTTCAATAGCGAATGAACATCAATGACTCGTGGGTAAATTCTGAATGTTATCAATTCTCTTCTTTAATCCTCAGGCCGTGCCCTCTTTAGCACTTTTGTAAATCCTTGACATAAAAGATTCCCAAAAAAGTATTTATTTTGTGTTTGGAATTCTTGATTAAGGTCAAACACCTCAGAATAACTTAACCGGTAAAATAAAACCAAAATTAAATTGACTTTTCCCACCTCTCTAAACTTAAAGCAAATTCAAAGTGCACCTAAAAAGCTACTCCATGAATGTGAAATATGTTTGTGTTGAAAAAGGAGTTTACCACTGAGTAGAATGGTCATTATTTACATAAACTTATTGCTATACAAATGAAGGTGTAATACACTAAAGGTAAAAGTACAGAGGAGTTATAAATGAGCAAATATATAGGGGAGGAGCAAATTATACCATACAATGAATACCAAACATCTTAGACAAGGAAGAAAAAAGATGAGCAAACTACTTTGAAGAAATATATCAAATTAAATTGTTTGGCTGCTCTGAAGTCTGAAGGCTTGGTAACTTGTCCAAGCCCATACACAATACAAAAGGCCTCAAAAGTCACCTAGGTATAATACAACACTGAGCAGAAAAGATGTTGAAATTATTTAGAGTCCACACTACATGTACGTAACACACAAAACTGTCTTTTAAGAGCCACAAATTTTAAAATGTTGGAAGAGGTACCATTGCTCATCATAATAATGCACTTAGTTTATTTTAAAAAATTCAGAAGAAGAAAAGCTTTTATAAAATTTGCACTAAATAATCAACATAGTCCACCCTATCACAGACCCCAGACCAAGGGATCCAAGAATTTAAAATTTTCACAATATTTCAGGAAGATACTGTGACAGATAGATGGTCGGAACAGGACAACAGTATACCCAGACTTTCTTTAGAAAATGTGGGCATATATAATGACTATCTAATTAGAATTAGATGTTAGATCCACTGGCATACTGGCTACACTAACATCTAACAACATCCCATAGAGGGGCACGTCAGAGGTCAAATTCTATCAAACAATCAAATTGTCGCCTGCAAAATCATGGCATATTTGTTGAAGCGAATAAGTCTAGAGTAGAGCTGTTCCAAATTTGAACTCTGATATGACCCTCTATGGGATGTTGTTAGATGTCAGTGTAGCCAGTATGCAAAAGGATCCAACGTCTAATTTTAACTAGATTGATAGTATCATGGATCTGCTCATAAGACTCAAGATCTAAACCTTGTGAGAATGACCTAAGCTTTGGGTCACAGAATGCACCTTGACCTTGACCTTTTACAAGAACAGTTAGAAGGGTCACAACAAACCATGTGATCCTAAATAATGTATGCATTGAATCTGAGATTTTATATAAACTATAAAACTTACTCTTTGGTGTCTACCATCAATTCTGCTGCAATGGGACCTCCATAATTCTAACTACCACGCTCCATTTCAGAACTGAGGAATGTGACAAATGAAACTCAGTCCTGAAATTGAAAAAAGAAATAAATATAAAAAAATACATCATTTACTATCAAGAACAGACTGGATATCTCATGTTTGTTACCATCAGGTACCTGGTAATACAATGCAAATCATCACGTACTATAGATACAAAACACACAAACAACATTTAACCTTTAGATTCCAGGGACAAAACGAATCAACAGTCATAATGCAATCCAAAAATGGCTTTAAAATCGATAGCTTAATTGATTTCTCTTACATGGCTTTGTTTTACATATCATAGGATGCTGAAATCATGTTCGCAATTAATAGAGCAAAAAATTTTACTACATACTATACTCTTGTCTGGACTTTTAAAAATAATATCAAGATTTTTATAAATAATTGACACTGACATTATTGATGCTTAGACATAATTTTAATAATTCATTGAAATCACACTGCAAAAAGGATAATAATTTTTTTTTTATCCTGTTATAAGATGATTTTTACACAAGTTCTCAAAATTCATAGTGACAGCTGCAACACTGAAACCTTAAAATGAATTTATAAGTAATGATTATTATTTCATGATATCATCAATAACTTACTTTCAGCACAGAAACCATTAAAAGAGTTCCACATTTCAGTTCAAACACCCATCTGGCAACACATATCACTAAAAATGCCCACAAACTACAGATTTAGAAGGCAACTGATTTCTTGGTATTATCCATATCCAAAAGTGCCAAAATCTCCCCCAGTAAAAGCAACATCAGGCAGGCTATGACCCCAGTCGTCTGGCAAGATATCGCCAAACTTTTAATCCCGAATCAGTCCTATTAACTAAGTGTATATATACTGCACATGCTGTTTAATTTTCAAGCAGCTTATGAAATTAGGTGGTCCATGGGTGAATATATTTTACTTTTAAGTTCAGTGCATTAATCCTTAATCATAAGTGAATAGTGATAGCCTTAACTACCCTTGCTACCCTTTCATGCTAGCAGCCAGTTTTAAAACTGTCAACTAAATGAAAGACCTCTTGTGAAAAGGCTAATTATGATTTTTGGGGGGGTTTTAAAAAGCCTATAGCAGGTTTTAAAACCACTTGTTGGGATTCTTAAGGTGGCTCGTACATGTATGTATTTTCCACATCTGGGTACTCTTAATGGTATTGGAACATCACAGAGTATTTTTCAAAGTTTATTCAAATGACATTGTGAAAGTTCAAAAATTGAGCCAGATAAAATCGTATCTCATCGCGATGCTTTAAAGGAGTTAATTAGTTAATGGACAGGGTATGGCTAATCTAACAAATCAGTAAACTTGATATAGCAGAGAGAATTTAATCTAAACACTTAAGAAGTATTTTTAAATTTGCGATGAAAATTAAAATACAACTTTGGATGCTTTACACATTGAGAAATTTAACCAATACCTGGTAAATGATTTTCAAAACTTAATGTACGTACATTTAAATTTTCATTAATATAAAAGAAAATATTCAAATTCAAAACACAAAACAATTTCACAACTATGGTATATCCAAAGTTTGAATTACTCCAAATTAACAAAGACCGGAGCCCACATTCTTATCCAGTTTATTTCAAAAATCCTAATATTTCTGGCATACAATTCATTTGGCAAATTAAATACCTATCTAAATATATACGTAGACTTTGAAGATCCTTAAGACCCATTGAAATGTCTCTTCACACAAATTATGAAGTAACCATATTCATTGTGCTTATATAATTCCCTGATTGCCAGTTAGAGGATTTAATATCTGTCTGAATATCTAGGTAATATATTCAAGACCAAAGTATCCACAACTCTTTAAATTCCTTGTAACAAAAACTCTTAGCTAATCATTACATTTGCGATTCTTTATTCCATTCTTTATATGGGGGCAGCTAGTAGCCTGGTGGTACCCTCTATGACACAGCTATTAATACATATCCACTCAGACAAGGGTATCAAAGAGCCAGGCAATGAAAGTATCGCCAGGCCTTGAATTATCTGTAACTCTTTTAATTGTGGTGACAAGGTCTTGAGGCTTGACACAAGAACAATTAAAATTTACTCAGCAGGGAGGAATTTTATCTTGGATTCCCTCCCCATAAAATTGATGAATGTTGTTCCATGCTCAACCCCTGACAGACCAATTCCTGATAACACTGGTCTGGTCCCTTAAATAGTCTACATACAGACCACAAATATCTGGTGTATTGACAATACCCATCTTTACGGTTTTTCAATCAAAAAGAGCTACAGAATCCCCACCAAAGTCCTTTTTTGTTGTTATTATAAGCATGCATTCAGGAATATTGAGAAAAGAGATCAAGATGCCGAAGATGATCACTGCAGAACATGCATTAGTTGGGACACAATTCTTTTTGAATCTTTTAAGTTCAGAGGCTTGTATTGCTGCATCGATCAGTATCATAACCAACTTCAAGAAACCAAAGAACACAAATTGGATTTCAGTGGCTGTAGCATTTAAGATTTCTTGAACTGTGTCATCCATTTGCATAAAAAACAAATATAAGCTGAAATACCTAAAATTGCAAACAGTTCAATACTTGATGAAATAAAATTTCAATTGTTCCAATACCTGCAAATTATACAAAAGAGTGATAACAATCAGAATGAATCATCCTTGAGTCAATGTGAAAAAGCATAGAACTTTACATCCTTCATTCAGCAGCATCAAGGTCAAAGGTCATTGGTAAGGTTAACTATGATGATATTATTCAAACATTCCAATCCAACTTAAGCCAAACAAAACACAGCTTACAAATAAAACAACATATGTTTTTTAAAACATATATCCCCCCCCCCTCTCCAACCCAATTTAAATGTATGATATATTAGGAAATATTTATTAGTTATCTACTCATCAGGGGCAATCAAAATACCAAGTTTGATCTTCTTCAGGTAAAAGGTTCTTAAAATTTTGAAAACTAGGCAATATATCTTCATACTTATAGATGTGACAAGATTTCCATAGTAGTTTGACACTTGACTTCAAAATAAAAGGGTGTATCTGTACTTTTAAGGCTGTACATTTCAAACACTATGTCCAGAAACAATATATGTCTGTTTTACCTAGTCTGAGGGGCAAAAGAAAAGATGACCTTAGAAGCCAGTAAGCTGCACTTTCTCCCCCATTCTAAGGTTGCCTCCTCCAAAAGACAAGTAGGGCTATAAATAACTGCATCAAAGACGGAGAGATCCCTCAATGTCAAAACGCTATTAATTTATCACTATTATACCCAGTCGATGAGCTCCCAATTTAGAAACATTTAATTCACACCTCTTCCAAGCTTCTAAGGGTATTAGACTAAGTCCAAATGACAAACACTCGAGTAACTAATTTTATCTTACGATGTCATATAGTAAAGTAGACCCAGGATTTGTCGCATTAAAAAGAGTGTTATAGAGTAATAAGAAAATGATGGAAATTAACTATACAAGTGCTTATACATGCATTTCTCAAAGACTGGAGAATACAGCACCATCAATACATATAACAACTAAAAATGCTGTTTAATACACTGAAACATTTGTTTCCCTTATTTCAAAGGTAAAGGTCATACAAAGGTCATCACACATAATGATTCTTCTACAGTGACAACCAAACGCCAACACGGTCTGACAGAAATTCAACCACTTGGAGTAAAGATGAGAAAATGATCCTTGACCAACTTTCCCAACTTAAAATTTAGGTCAAAGACAATTTATGTGTCATATGACACTATTACATCACATACAGTTGACTCATCTTTAAACTAAATAATATTATTTTGGATCATAAGTAGGGCAGACAACAAACAATTTCTAAAATGTGGAAAGCTTTTGACAAATAAGTTGATGAGACAAGGATGTCAACAGAGATGTCTAAAGTCAACATTTTGGAAATTCTATGATTGGTAGTGACCTTGTCAGCTCAGTGTGACAAGATGTTTACTCCTCTATGGCACCTCATCCAACATCTGATGTTTTTTAGAGGTCCATATGTTGGCTCTGTTCCAAAATAAATATTGTTTTGCTGGACTTTTGAGCTTGACCACTGTTTGTCATCTTCATATTTCATACTTTGAAATTGCTGATGGGTCAATAATTAGTAGTTGAACTTAAAGGTTAACTTGGTAATTTGAGCAGATTTTTTTTTTTGAAAAAATTATCTATTGACCAATCCAACTTTTAAGGCCCTAGCTGGCATTCAGGTATTTTGAGAGATTCTGCAGAAAAGATGTTCTTGGTACCTTGAGAAAGCTACTCTCTATATCTGTAACAGTATCAGAAATGTAACATTGTTATGTCTCCATACAAACCAACAAACAACAAAAATTTCTAATTCCACGTGTAAACTTTGTTTATGTCAAAGATGACAGAAAAATGTCTCGTGTACATAATACAACAGAAAGGAATTCAATCTCTGTGGTATTAAGTACATGCCACCCTGTATAACATCCACTTCACTGGCTATTTATCATTTCTAACCCCCCTGATTTATGTCAATGGAATATTTATAAGGCTTTTCATATTAAATCTCGAATTATGGCCTAGTGGACACCAGCTTAAATACATGTAGACAACATTTATCCGGGTATCAATCTGTTAAAGTCATGTAAAAATGGCCCCAGATAAGATCTAATTGTCCAACAGATTATGTCCTATGATGACCATTATCCAAAATCCCTTTAATATTAGGAACACTTAGGATCCGTGTAATGACCTTAGTCCCCTCGCAATTCTGAATAAGAAACTAAAGTATCGATGACCACACTTAACGACCCTTATGTATTTTCTTTCAGATCTGGTGAATGCCGAGTACAAAGAAATGTGAATATGATGCATAACCCAATAGCCTGCTGGTAACTAAGTAGATAATTAAATGCTAGAAGATTTTTTAAAGATATGAACACATTTTCAATACTAATTATGATTGCATAAAATTAGTTGAGCTATGTTAACAGATTACTAATAGTTACCCAATAATACCAAATACTCTTTATGTCAGTAAGTTAGTCTC